ATCCCAAATTTGTGGAGGATCCCCAGTTTTGGGGGTGAAATCCCAGTTTAGAGGGGATATCCCAGTTTGGGGGGGTTCCCCAGTTTGGGGGGGGTAAATCCCAGTTTAGAGGGGAAATCCCAGTTTGGGGGGGTTCCCCAGTTTGGGGGGGAAACCCCAGTTTCGAGGGGAAATCCCAGTTTAGAGGGGAAATCCCAGTTTGGGGGGGGGTTCCCCAATTTTGAGGGGATCCCATCTTTGGGCTGGTCCCACTTTTTCTTGGAGCGGGGGGGGGCAATCCCCAGTTTGGGATCTCCCACTTTATCACTCCCCCATTCATTTCGGGCGAATCCCCGGTTTGGCGCCTCCTCGCTATGAAGGGCTCCCCAATTCCCCTGCGGCGCCCCTAATTTAGAGGGGGGACACCCCCAAATTCCGGGGATCCCCCCCGCTCAAAACGCGTCCTGCGCCTTTAAGACGCTCCCCCCTCACACCCAACCCCGCAGCGCCCCCTAGCGGCGCGGAGGTCTTCCCGCCTTTTCCTTAAGCCCCGCCCCTCCGCTTCGGCCTCGCTCGGGCCGCGCTCGGCCCTTTCCGCCAGAACCGGCTTTCACCGAGACGGGGGTGGGGGTGTCTCATTGGCCGGTGCGCTCGCGCCGCCCCCCCCTCATTGGCCGGGGCGCTCGCGCCGCTTCCGCCGCGCCCCCCCATTGGCCGCAGCGCTCGCGCCGCCGGTGAGTGACAACCAACACTTCCCCCCCCCCCCCCCAACCCTTTCCCCTCAACCCCTCAGACCCCCGCGGGCGGTGGGAGTGGGGTGGGGGGGGGGGGTTGTTTGGGCTCCGTACGGTGCCGCCGCCGCTTTCCGCCGTTTTCCGGTAAGGCCCGCTGTTAAAAGGCTGCGGGAAGGTTTTGAAGGCCTTCAAAGAAGCGAAGGCGGCGGCGCCGGGAGGCCCCGGAGCGCTCGGGAGTCCCCCCCACCCCCGGGGGGTTTTTGTGCCGGGGCCGCGGGGGCTGCCGGGAGTTGTAGTTCCGAGGGGCGCGAGCCCCGAGGGAGGGGAGGGGCGGGGGAGGGCGGGAAACGAGAACCGGCGGGTCCCGAGGGGAAAATGCGGAGTTTTGGGGCGCCTGGGGAGATTGTTGAGGTAAAAATCCTGATTTTGGGGTTCC